ATCAATCAAGCCTCTACTAATCGAAGGAACACCTTACCTTACGGACCAATGGATTATAATCTTTGAGAACTTAGATGATCCTAATCTAGAAAGCAAAATACCTCATTTCACACATGTGTAGGACAATAAGGTTACAACAGAATGGAAATTAGCACTTAAGATGTGCTACTTCTGTGAAAAAGAAGGTCATATTAAAAAAAAATGCCAACAATTTCAGGATTCAGTAAATTTATGAATTAGCTACCAACAATACAAAGAGAACAAACATAATAGAAGACTCTCAAATAACTTTCAGGAATTAAATAAGACTCTAGAAAGTATCGAACAGAGCAATGAAGAACCTCTAGTACTAGCAAACTCTAAGCAGCAAGAACAAAATAATACAAAAGATAATGCATATATGGCCTTAGAGGAAACTGATTCCAGCTATCAGCAAAACCTTCAGCCTCCAGTTTCAGCAGAATTAGTGACAACAAATAACAGCTCAGATAAACAAATGCAAGCGACAACCCAAGAAGATCTCTTACCAAATACAGAAATGCTACCAAAAGATGAACTTGCCATTTATGGCTATAGAATACCACATTTATCTGCAAGTCGCATCCCCAAAGCAGCTTCTTCTCCTGACAAAAATGAAGAAACAGATGGCTTTATCACAGTTATTAACAGAAAAACTAAGAAAGAAAACAGAACATCTAAGAAAGATAAAACAAGATCATCTTCATACAAGAAAACTCATGGAGAAGCAAGCCATTCCCAATTCAAGGGATCCAACAACTTCATATAATTTATAACTCAAAAAAACAAATTAAAAATAGCAACACTAAATGTAAAAAAACTTAATGACAAAGAAAAACAACAAAACTCACTAACTCTCTTAAAATCATACAAACTAGACATAATAATGCTTCAGGAAACTAACCTTAATAATGAAAAAACACAAGAATTTCTCAAACAACAATGGATTTATGATTCAATCTGAACTAAAAAAACAGCAATTCTAGCAGAAAGCAAAGACATTGAATTTAAAAACATTCAGATAAGCCATGAAGGAAGAATAATAACAACAGACTTTGTATTTAAAGGATATTCCTTTAAAACAACAAACATCTATGCACCACCAAACATTAGTAACAGAATAATCTTCTTTAATGACTAGAAACCTTAAATCAAAAAAAACAATATAAACATTATAGTAGAAGACTTCAATGTTAATCTTAATCCCAAAGACAACAGAATAAGTCAAGCAATAGCCCAACATGACTCAACTAGGACCTAGCTTTTCAACCTAACAAAAGAATTTATTAATATAGCAGAAACATCAAGCACCAAGTCCTTTCTAACTTTTTTTCAGAAAACACAAAATAATTACTTAATGGCTACATGTTTAGACTATATTTTTATAGATAAGAATCATAATCATCTTATATTAGAAGTCAGCATGCACTTTGATAATTCAGACCACCTCCTAGTAAGATGCACACTGGAATTCAAACAAGAATCTAAACAGCCTTTAGTCTAGAAGTTCAATAAAGAATCTTTTAAAAATGAATTATTAAAAAAAGAAGTACTAGAGAAAATTCAGGATGTTGGCTCAGCAGAAAACTGGAATTTATGTAAAATCTATATACAATAAATCATCAGAGTCTTTTAAAATCCCAAAGCCCTTGAAAACAAAATGGCAAGGCTAAACAAAGATATTACAAAGCTAAGTAAGAAGCTTGCAGCAGACTCTTCGAAAGAACACCTTAATGAAAATATAAAAGAACTTAACCTTTAAATACAAGAGAAACTAACTAAGATGGCTGAGTTATGATTAATTCAGTCAAAGACAAAATAAATCAAAAATGGAGAAAAGTCAACAAAATACTTCTTCTCAAGTTACAAAGCAAGAAAGTTACAAAGTGCTCAGTTTAGAATCAAAATACCTAAAACTCTAAGCTCAGAAAATGAAGATATACTTACATATATTAAAAACCAATATATGAAAATCTACAAAGAAGAAGATATAGATCTTAAGGTAGCAGAAAAGATTACTGAAAGTCTTTCTCAAATACTACAGAACCAAAATAACAACTTAGTCAAAAGAATTTCACAAAAAGAAATAATCCAAGCAATACAAGGCCTTTCTAATAACAAGTTACCTGACACTAATAGGCTAACTTATGAATTCTACAAACTCATATTATCAGAAATAGCACCAGTCTTTGAAAAGTTGTTCAATCAAGTACTAGATACTGGTTGTCTACCTGATTCATAATACAGAAACATAATTATACTAATTCTCAAAAAGTCAGAAAACTTAAAAGACTTAAACAACTGATGTCCAATCTTTTTAATAAATTGCAATGCTAAAATTTTTATGAAAATTATAGCAAACAGGCTTAATATAATTTGCAAGAAAATTATTCCCTATCACCAACAAGGATTTGTTTCTGGAAGATCAATAACAGACACAGCCTTGGATATAATTACCATATTAAGAAACCAATCAGACAGCTCCAAACAGCACTAGATGCTTTTAGTAGATCAGCAAAAGGCTTTCGACAGAGTGAACTATAACTTTCAGAACCTGGTTCTAAGAAAAATAAACTTCGACAAAAAAATGACCAACTTGGTAACCAACCTCTTTTCAAACCAAATAGCATATATTATGGAAGCCAATGTCCTATCTGAACCTTTTAGAGTAGAAAGAGAAGTATAACAAGGGGACCCACTCTTCTCCCTACTATATGTACTCTCATTTGAACTACTACTTATATAACTAGAAGGAAACATTTGAGGAATTTCCTTAAAAAACCAGTTTTTTAAACTGTCAGCTTATGCAGATAACTTAACAATAGGAATAGGCTTATCATCAAACTGAATAAACTATGCAACTTTTTAAAACCAACGAAGCTGTCTCTAATGCAAAAATCAATAAAAACAAAACCAAATTAGTGCCTCTTACAAATACAGCCTACAGGATTGAACTTAAGGATGAATCCCAATTTACTAAAACTACAGAACAGGAAACACTAACAATTCTTGGGTATGAAGTAAACACAAAAGGCATTCCTAAAAAAGACTTATGAATAATAACAATCACTAAAATAAAAAAGACATTAGAAAAATCATCCAATCAAAATCTTTCTTTTAGAAGAAAAATCCTTCTAGCTAAGGCACTTATATTTTCATGAATATGGTATGCAGCATATCTGACTCTATCAAGTAAAAAACAGATTACAGAAGTCAACAGACTTATGACACTCTGGATTAAAAACAATTCCAAAATGCTGCCTAGATACTTTATATTCTAACAATTACTAGAACAAAATGGCCTTCAAGCTCTAATAGTAGGAGATATGCTAGATGCTAAACTAATCTCAGTATGAAAAAAACTCCTTACTAGTAACTTTACATGGACCAAATATAAAAGAGAAAAAATTACAGAAATCTTACTCAAAAAAAGGAATATATCAATAAACCAGGCATTAAAGACAGATGCTATCAGATCAAAAGCCTGGCCAAAAGAATAAAAACTATACCTATTAGCTTGGAAAAAGGCCAAAGGCAAAGTTATTGTAACAATGAGCTGGCCTTGGAAGCTCAAATATTGAAATAGAAAAACTTAATAGAAAAGAACTTTCAGTTAAGAAAATTATTGAAATTCTAAGAAAAAGGCTGACATCGGAGCCATCTAATCCTAGCCAACACTCTAACTAGATGCTGATTAAGAAACTAACTAACAAAGAAAAGAACATTTTATAGTGCCTTTTTTATAAAGCTTTACTACTAGGATACCAGCTACAGCATATAAGCCCTTCTATTACAGGAAACTGTTTCTGGTGTAACAATAAGCTACAAACTACTAAGCACTTTGCTTTTAAATGCAAAGTTAGCAAAAAAATATGAAAACAGACCTATGGCCTTCTAAAAACTAACCAAGCTAAGACTTCTCTGACCTCTATAGAAGAAATTTTTACAGCAACAAACATTATAAATAATGAAAGCAAACAAGCTACTCTCTGATTGCACACAAACATAATTTATAAAATATAGTGCACTTACACCTCTTTCAAATAGGAAGACAGCAATCTTTCAAGCAGAATCCTATCTCTAATAGTAATTAAACATTTCCGCAAAGACATACATACTCTGTATCACAATCTAAAAAACTGTTCTCAAAAAAATGAAAGATATATATAATATAAATGTATACAATGTTTTTAATAAATTGATTTTAATAAAAAAGTGCTATATACACTTTTAGGTATTAACACTAGGGATAAATAAATAAAAAAATTTAAGAGTTTATGCAAAAACTTTATATAAAATTCTAAAATTATATATACTCAAAGTTGGCAATAAAGCTTAATAGAATCTAATAAAGCTAATAAATACTATTTTGAGCTCTATTTGTATAATTACTAAGTCTGTTAACTCCATTGCCAACTCTGTATGTATTATATCAAAATTATATACAAATTACAGACATGTATCATTATGCATATATGCTGATAAAAAGCATTTATATATTAAATTAATATAATTAATAAAATATTCAAGTACTATTATTATAATAATTTTTTTTAATTAATGTAAAATAAAATAATTAATTTTTAGTAAATTAAAAATAGCACTTGCTAAAAATATATATTAAAAAACTGTAATAAAAATTCTTATACTTATAACTAATTACAATGATAAATTGAATTGCTTTAAACAAACTTAAATCAAGAATACTTTTTTGAAATTCAGAAATATTTTTATAAGTTTTCTGATCAAAATATAAAGATTTATAAGCTAAATTTTTAAAAATAACATAATATAATTAATAATTTTGCTGATACATATACCCAACTCATATGTAACATTATATATTTAAATAATAATAATAATAAAAAATATTCTTAATTTTAACATTAATACTTTTATCATTAAATATTGCATATATTTTAAATAATTTATAATAAAATGTATAATAATTAATTATTTGATAAGGTTATTGGTAAAAAAATATGTTGTTCAAGTATAATAGAACTTATAATTTTGAAAATAATATTAATGATATAGATAATATTAATAATAAAAATGTTTATGATAATGATAACATAAATAAAAATTAGACTGATGCTGAAAATGAAAATCTCAATAAATATATCAATAATACTGCTAGATCTTTATCTATTACATCTTATTTTGCCTTTGTTCTATATGAAGTTTTTATAAAAAAAAACTCAAAAAATTAAATATAATGCATAAAAAAAAAAGTATCTAGTAGTAGCTAAGTATGAAAATATACTTGTTAAAACAAGTTAACTAAGGTTAAACATTGTGATGTTTATATAAAAAATGAGGATAGTACTTCTAAGTAATGTAAAACATTATTTATGTTCAAGTTATTAACAACTAACATAGCTATATATTTATATACTGAGCATTGAATTTATAAACAACAAAAATAGAAAGTACAGCCTTTTGTTATACTTACAAACTCTATATTAACTACTTAACCAAGAATTAAAGCAATAATACAAAAGCAAATTGAGAATACTTTACTGCTTTTTAAAAAAAAACAAAGTTATATTATTTATCAGCTTGCTACTTGAATAATTGAAGCTATAATGCCATTAGATTGTATTAACTATAATCAATTTTAAGACTTTTGTTATGAGATTAACTAACAATTTGTAGTTTCTTATATTAATATAATTAAAAATGTAATTAAAAAATCAGTAATTTACACAAATGCATTATTAAAGAAATATTAAACTAAACAATTATTTCTGTTTTTATTATTACTGATTTATGAACTCAAAATCATGTTCTATATATTGAAATAATAGCATACTGGTTTTCTAAAGATTTTATAATATATTAATTTTTAATTACAATGAGCACTTTGTCTATTTATATATCAAAGATCAAATCAAAGATTTTTTGTATAAAGTTCTTGTAAAATAAAATATGTTTTACAAAGTTAGTGCAGTAATAACTAATAATGCATCATCTATAATAAAGCAGTAGACAATTAGGCTCATCCATCTTGGTTGTACTGCTTATACTATTCATCTTGCAATAACAAATAAATTAAAAAAGTGTAAAGTTTTAATTAAATATGCAAAATTCTTAAATAATTTTTTGGATAATTATAACAAATATCGAACATTATTTAGAAAGATTCAACATAACTTAATTGAAAAAATAAAATTACTAACTTACTTATTACCAATATACACATTCTAAAACCTATATTAATTGATATTGCTACTAGGTAGAATTCTATTTATCTTGTTTTTTAGCATCTTTTTAAGCTTTAAAATCTAATTTTAGAATTAGCTACAAAATTAAAAAATAATTCTGACTATGCAATTCATGCTAATAATAATAGTTTAAGTAAAAGAATACTTTTAAATAAAAAATGAACAGATATAATTATAAAATTACTATAACTTCATATAATTTTGTAGTAAGTTTAAATAAATTAGTTTTTATATAATTTGTAATTTAAATATATTAAATAAAAACAGTCAGCTAAGAATTCTAGGATTTGAAGTAAACTCCAAAAGTGATCCTCCGAAACAAGTTTAGAAAAGAATAACTCAAGACATCAAGAATAAAATAAAAAAAATCTCAACAAGGAACTTATTATTCAAAGGAAAAATTCTGTTATTCAAATCTCTTCTTATTTCAAAAATTTGGTACATGGCATACCTACTACTATCTAGCAGAAGACAATTAGATAGAATTAATATGCTTATATCTGGCTGGATTAAAAACAAGTCTAAGCTGCTATCAAGATATTTAGCATTTCAACTGGACTACAACAGAGGAGGTCTTGATACCACAGTACTTAAAGACATTATAGACTCCAGACTCATCTCAATTTGGTTAAAACTCCTTTCAGTGAGTAGTCTATGAGCCAAAATTGAAAGATTACTAATTTCACAAAGTCTTCAAACTAAAAGAAATCTAACTACAATATCAGCTCTTACAAAAATGCCAATAAGACTTAAAGGATAGTCAGACTATTGGAAGCCATACCTAACTGCATAGAAGTGACTTAAAGGAACCATTTTTGCAACTAGTGACTGGCCATGGAATGCTTTGTAACTAAAAGTCTATAATACTCCTGGAAACCAATTTTCAGTACAAAAAGCCATTGAGTTTTTAAAACAAAGTTCCATAAAACCTATTACAACACAAATTTCACTATGTCTATCAGAAGATTCTGAAAGAGTTCCTAGCTAGTTCTAGTGTAAAGGACTGCTTAGCAAAAAGAAAAACATTTTCTGAAAACTTCAGAACAATGCACTATCACTAGAATATTACCTTATGCATATTAACAAAGAAATTAATGAAAACTGTCTAAACTGTACAAATCAGAAACAAACTCCAAGCCATTTCACTATAGACTGTTGAATTAGCCAAATTTTCTGAAAAGAGATGTATACTTTTCTTCAAACAGGAACAGAAGTAATACATTTTTAGTCAATAAAAGAAATTTTAAAGGCTTTGAATATTAAAGATTTAGAGAAAAGAAAAGCAGTATTCTGGCTTTATATTACAATAATATACAAAATATAGTTATGGTACACTTAAGCCAGATAGGGAAACACATTATTTTGGAAGAAGCTATAAAGAACATTACTAAAGCCAAGATCAATAAAGCTTAAGAGTATTAGATAAAACTTCTAAGAGTAAGGTAAAAGCCAAAATAACTAGGTTTTTAACTTTAACTGTAAATAGATAGTAATAATCAGTTTGATAATAATGTAATTGTAATCTACTAAATAAAGTATACCAATTCGCATTATAAAAAAAAAAAAAAAATTTAAATATATAATGTGTAATATTTAAGATTAAATTTTTAGTAACCAAAAAATTATAATATAAATATATATTCAAATCAAGAGTACTGATTAAAGCTAGACTCTATATATAATATAATAAAAATTATATAAATCTAATTTATTAAAACAGGTTCATATTGTTTTATTAATAATTACTTCAAAAATATCATATTTCATTAATACTCATTTCTATAATCTTATAGATAATTAATTTTTAGAATAGTTATTTCATAAAAAGTATATTTTATTTTATAGACAAGCTTTTTTAATAAATCTTAATAACCTTAGTTCTAATTTTAAACCTAATTTTAATAACAATGACTAAAATTACTTTATCTGTGAAATAAGCTATCAGTAAAATATATTATAAATAAAATAAACTATTTAATAAAATGCATATTAGTAAAATGTAATGTCTTTGAGGTAATTGTAAGTTAATTAAGTTAAATATAAGATTGTAACTTTTGAAACACAATTTAATGAATAGGCCTAAAAGAGATGTATCAGATTTTATATTTCTTTGCATATGCAATAACTTTTGTAAATAGTGATTAATACTCTATACTGAGTATAATGTATCTAATTATACAATATCTTTTTAAAAACTTGGATCAAATTAAAAATAAGCTTACATATTAAATATTATTAAAATGTACAAAGATTTTCCCTCTTCAATGATATTTTGATAAAATAATCTAAAAATAGTTAGATGGCTCACCATATTTCTTAACTCTTATTTCAAAATTTTATTAGCTATTTTATTATAATTCAACAATATGTATTTTAAGAAATATACAAAAAAATTAAATTTTTTTATTAAACTAATGACTTATTCTCTATCAACCAAGCTTCAACTACAGAAATGTCTTCCTTTTTTGATAATATAAATGAACTCGAATTGATACTAAACTTTAAATATATTTATCAATTTTACAAATTCCTAAGTATGATTCAAAAGATTTGCATTATAATAAATGTAACTTTTTATATTAATAAAATGAGTATAAAAATGCTATATCTCTTTTTACTAAACAAGCACAAGTTTTTTTAAGCATACTAGATATCTTTGTACCTTCAGAGCATCTTTTTTCTAATATTAGTAATATTATAACAAATAAATATAATTGTTTAAATACAGATATAGTCCATGATTTTTTGTTTTTAAAAGAAAATTTGAAAATAATAAATGTATATATTGAATTATAAATTTTTGGTTATAACAGTTTTAAATTTTTATTTATAAGTTAGCAAATTCTTATACATATATTAAGAGTAGAGTACAATATTGATCATTTCTATATATAATTAGTTGTAAATTTTTACAAGTTTTTTTATATTTAATTTTTTGAAAAAATATATTAAGTAAATAATTTTTAATTATTATATAAAAGTTGTAGAGTAAGATTGTCTAATTCTAATAATAGTAAAATTTTAAATTGGATAAAAACTTATTAAGATATAAATTTTATTTTTTTTTTTTAAATATTAAGATGAATACTTGTGATCTAGGATTTTATTAATAGTATATTTAACTAATGATTGCTTTATAACTACAGGAGGCAATCATAGAGAAAATATACAACTAGCCACTTGTACAACTTTAGTTATTGTCTAATTTAAGTAGTCTGCTCGAAGGTTCTACACTAGCTGCCATACCTAGAACCCACTTGTAGATTCCCTATTTAACCACTCTGTTTCTGTATTCACCTACTTATCTCTGCCTACTAATGATCTTGACCAATACTAGTGAAAATATGCCATAGCTACTAAGTCTTTAAAGCAGTTCTTTAGAATCTTTGACCTTGTACTAAACCTTCCAGAATCTTCTGTATTCCATTCTTACAGCTAACCCAATATTGCTATGGCTGAGACCAATACTAACAGTCAGGATGTATCATTAAACCGCTATGCCCTTGTAGAGTTTACCCTAACCCTAGTACTTACTTTACAACATATCCTTACTATTTTGGTATTCAATTCAAGTTTCACCAAGCTGCCATTCCAGATAGCCCAGAAAGATAGGTCAAAACTATACACCTTTAGTTTATATGTTTGCCAACATGTACCCTTTTTCTTCAGAACTCAGAAATTCTGATGGCCTGGTTGGTTTATCCAGTCTCTTCTCAAAGACTGGCATATTTGCCTGGTTTTACAAGTTCTAGCTCCATTTCATAAGTCTAGTCTTTACAGTAGCACTATCGAAAGCTTGAGTTACTTCTCTACTCAGATCTTCCAAGTAGGCTTCCATCTTTCTTTTATTGGTTCTTATGATTTACATGACCATGAGGACTTATTGTAGATTTGCACCACCCAGTACCGGTTTGTATTTTTTTATATAACCACAAACCTTGTCCTTAAGAACAATGTCATATAACTGTTACACAAATGCCATGTGA